TAATTACTCTAATGGTTATCACATGTGTATAGTTAAATATTTTTGAACATATTCTGGGTGTGTAGATTTTCTAAAAAACATAGAGTCTAATATTAGAGGCTGTGTTAGTTTTTATATTATTGGTCAAAAAGCAGTACTTATATGCATTGACTAAAATAAACAAATATATATGCTATATGTAAATAAAACAAAGGCAGGTTTTAGCAGTCATGTTAGAGCAATAACTGATTAGTTGTTTTTTTTTTCAAATTTGTCTCAGAAAACAATGCAGTATTTTTCATTTAATTAATATAATTGAATTTCTGCAATAAAATGATGGAAAGTCAATGCAAACAGAACTTATAAAGTATGAGTGGCCAGTCTATATTGCCGGTCACTGTTTTCTTATGACTGGTATTTCATAAAACAGCACAGAATATTTAAATCCTTCTCCTAATATTTGTATTGTTTAATATTTGTATTTATGCTTTTCAGTTTCTAATACTTTGGGTGGTACACTGATATTGATGATGATAGATTGTGCTGATTCTAGCATAGCAAAATCAGCACAATACGGCAAGAAGTTTTATTCCTCTGGTTGCTTGGTTGTAGCTGTTCTTGACACACCTATTAAAACCCACTGAAGCCTTTGTCTCATCAGTTTCAAAAATCCAAAACTATCTAAGCCCTGCTATGCGGTAAGATAAATGTAAATAAAAAGGTATGTGTCTTAATTTGTAAATGTACATCAATAAACATAAAACCATTTAAAATTTGTATTAATTTCTTGTCAACTAATACATTACATGTGAACTCAAATGCTTCATATGTGCCGAAGCAAAGTTACAAGTTTGCACCAATAGACTTGTAAATCACAAATTTGCGACTATGAATCTATATTCACAGTATTGTGTTATGCAAGTGATGCAGTTCTTAATAATGCCTTATATATAACAGGTACGATGAACAAAGTAATAACAGGTTGTCATCTTGGTTTTACAGGTTAACAGGTGCTATAGTGGAGCTGAAGCAATACTTCTCTCCTCTTGGGCAGAGGACAAAACTCTATTTAATCTATACCACACAGTCAAACAGCACCTTATCCAAGCAGCTTCCTCTGTTCCAAATTAAAGAGTATTTTTTTCTATGCTGGAGAATCTTTTTTAATAAAAAGGGAAAAAAAAGTTTGAGCCCTACTACTGTGGAAAAACACTTTTAGCGAATTAAAACACCTGAAGAAACTGAAGCACCCTATTAATTAGACCAAACACAATGTCAAAAAAAAAAAAACACTCAGCACACCAAGCACAAAAAAATGAATGTCAAACCAAAGATGTTCACATTGTTTATAAATTGTTTTTTCATGGGTAAATTAGCCAGGATATTTAATAAGTTACTAAAAAACCATATACAACACATGCATAAGTGTTATTATATACAGAAGAGATGCATCATAGTTTGAGGATTTCATTTGGTGCAACAACCACTATGCCAGTAGATGCCACCCAAGGGAACTGAAAAAAGCTTTGGATAGTGAACCACTATATGACACAATGGTTTAAAATGATTCAATGCTTCCAAAAGCCTTGTCTTGCCATTACTACTTTAAGGCTTTATAACGGACAGTTGGAATAGTTCCACTCTTCAATTTAAGCTTTGTGTAGAAGCCCGCTTTTAATCACCCATGTGAACTCTTGTGAATCAGTTCTATTTAAAAGCTTAGCACAGAGATGCAAAACATCCATAGGTTTAATAAATACAACAATTTCCATCCTCTGAGTCTTCAGTGGCTCAGATAAAGGCAGTAAAATACTTTTGTCTCGATGCTGCCATTAAAAAAATCAGGTTCTGTCAACAAAACTATAGATTTTTTTTCAATGTAGAAACAATTGTCTCCTTTCAGCTGTTTACAAATAATCAAAACACAAAATGCTGAAGGCATGTCCTGTTTTCTGACATTTTCCATTAAAAATAAAACTGAAGACCCTTAATATCTAAATGATCATTTATGCAGGTTATACCTTAACTTTTGTCACGTCACTTATTGCACTTTTTTACTTTTCTCTGCAAGTCCTAATATTGCCATATTAATCTGCATTTTCTAAGTCATATATGCATATTGTAAAGACTCAGTAGGTCTGTCCCTCTT